TAAATAAATATGCGTAGCAGAATAAATTAATCATTTCAATAATTTGAAAACTAATATGAAAACAAAGTTCGGACCATGAATTCAATAAATAACTCTTTTACACTCGGTTTATGTCGATATTATCATTAATCTAAGCTATGTTCCTTTCCCCTTTTTAGGTATGAATATTTAAACATTTTTTTAAAGTAAGTTTTCGTTTAATTTAGCAAAACAATAAATCTTTTCCAATTCCTTTTTTGTTATAAATATTTGAACATTTTTTTTGAAGTTTAAAAAGTTTTTATTTAATTTAAAGTTTTCAAATGTTACTTTCGTTCTGATTTTTACACAGTTTTTAAATGCTCAGATATATTTCAAGCGATATAGGAAATTATTATAGCTAATTTTGGTATTTTTTTTAGAAAAGATTCCATTTTCTTTTTGTTTACATTTTTTTCAGTAGATTCTGTTTCCACATGGTTTATAAAATCTGATATTATTCATTTCTACTGCTAAATTCTGCGTATGAGTAACACCATTTAAAAAACTGATTTTTGTGATTTTCGAAGTGAATTTTTGCAGGTTTATAAATTAATATAAATTTTGTTTATTAAATAATTCATAATAAATCTTGTGCAATTCTACAGTTTCCTAATTTTTTTGTTATAGTCTTGGTCTGATTATAAGCAAGGAATAAAGAAAAAGTATTTAAAAAGAGTGAAGCACGCTAATAGCACCGGAGGAGGTTCCCCTCTAAAAGAATTAACAGAGTTAGAGGAAAGAGTTTTAGCTTTGATAGGTACAGATGCGTACAAGGGACTAACTATAAACAAGCACAGGACTTCTCCAGTAAGTTCATTTTTGTGTTTTATATTATTTATTTCAATATGTTTATAAAAATTGTCAGCTTTTTCAGAATGAGATTTTTCCTTTACCATGTTGATTTTCGCTACGAATTATGCAAAAAGACATAGTTCTCATTGTTCTATTCAACGTTTTCACAATTTATTCTACCCCAATCTATTTCGGCTTATTGTCATGTCAGTCCGTAGCGTATGAAAGCGCCATTCGTTTCACATGATTCAAAATTTCATTATTTTTGACAATCATTTAAAACAAAACCAGACGTCTATTCATTTATTTATTATTATTATTTTCTTTTTTAAATTTGTTTTAACCGTCATGTCAAAATATAAATAAAGTAAAACTTTCCAACCCGTCGTAATTATGATATTTTTTAAAGTGCTTAAAAATATTTTTTGAGTGCTTGAAAAGGACTTAAAAGGTGCTTATTTTTTGTTGAATAATTTGGCTTTGCACCCTGAATTAGTTTTACTTTTTTTTAAATCAATATTTTAGATAGAAACCCTATATAAAGTTTCTGCATGCTACTTCTTATCTAAAAAATTACTGCCTGAGGGTTTATTATTGTCAATCAAGAATTAATTTTGTTAGATTGAAAGTGGTTTTATTAGATTGTAGATTTTGCAAATGACAATTTTTCAGAACATGGGAATATTCTTTTACATTTCTTTAATTGAATTTTTAATATCATATTATAGGTGCCTGAATCTATTGAAGTAATTTTGCCTGGATCTCCAGCAGACTCGTTCGTGGAGTTCAGCTTCAATGTGGATGAAGCCGAATCAATGGCTGAGCCATGCCAGTACCAGTCAGTCAGTTGGAGACGCCCATGGAGTCCCCAACACCTGTTGCAGCAGCGGAGACCTCCTCTGCATACGAGAAAGTGTCTGCAAAGAGGCAGGTTCTAAAACGCAAAAGAAACAGGGGTCTAGTAATCCCCTCTGAAAAAGCGGAACGTTTAATAGACGCTCAATTGAGCAATAATAAAGCCATTATGACAATAGCCGAACATTTACAAGAGTCTAATCGGCTCGCAGAAGAGAGAAATGGCATAGAGCTGAGAAAAACAATAGCTTTCGAGAATATACGTAAAGTGTTGTCGAATAAAAATTTTATCTAATTTTTATTTGTTTTATTAGTACTTATTTTAAAATTAAATTATATAGCAGTTTGATAATTTTTAGTGTAAAATATTTCATTACCTTGTGCTTACCAGTGTTTTTAATATTTTATGAATAATGGGTACAGTTAGCTTTTGGTAGCATTGGAATCTCGAGTAAAATTAAGTATTTTTTAAGACTGTTAGGGCATTTTTCATATACATCACATTTAATAGATAGGCTTTTTAATATATCACAACAGTTTATATCATAATTCTGAAAGTTAATTTGTTCGTAAACAGCTATAAAATAAAGTCTTAAAATTTAAAAGGAATAATATGGATTATATGACTTACTAAATGCAAATAAAAAAAACTTGGTATAAAGTATTTTGATGTAACCAAAATCCACCAAATTTTCTTGTCTTTTTTAAAAGGCTCAAAGGGAGAAATGCTACCACTTCGGTTGGCTCAGTATTTTTGTGCTCCGAGTCTGTGAGTTACTAAACTTTTGTATATTTTTCTTGGTTTTTTTAGTAACAATTTATTCTGCAGTTGTTATATTTGTGTATTTGTTGCTAACTTGAAGCATCATCACATAGTTGATATACTTATTTTTTTCTATCGCATATGAAGAAGTTAATTTAAACATTGCTAATTTGTTCACAGTTAAGTAAAAAAATTAGTAAATAAGCCAATGTGAAATTAATTACAAATTTTTATTCAAACAAGAGAAATTTTTTTATTACAACATGGTAATAATTATGTCGCGAATTCTCGAAGCGTTTCTACCCTCACATGCTGGCAGGCCAGTATTGAATGGCATGTCATCTTCTCAAAGGATATCATATGTAATATGATACCCATCGCTCATACACATATTGTGCACTACTGCACACACATGCACAATCATGCCGGCAGTTGTTAGCGTATAGTGCAGCACTCTTTCTTTTAATAGGGATCTAAATCTTCCTTTTAATGCCCCATTGCATCTCTCGATGATGTTTCTCCCAAGTCTATGTCTGTAATTGTAATTTTCTTCCTCCACAGACGTTTCGGTGACAGGGGTCATGAGCCATGGCTCTAGGGGATAGCCAGAATCACCTAAATAAAGAAATTAATACAAAGATTAAAATGGTACATCTAAGTCTTAAAATTATTATATAACTTAAAATCAATTTGATAAGATAGTTACTATTTAATAAGAGGTGATCCAAAAGGCAGTTTACTTTTCAAAACATTGTAATTTTTTAACTATTTACAATAAAGCAATTCCACTAGCTCATAAACACGAATTTTTTAATACAAAAAAAAATATTTGTTTAAAAATTATAAAGTAAATTAACTTTTGGATCACGTGGTACATTAAAAAAAATGGGACTACCAGAATTATTGTAAACTTAGTTCAATATGCTTAAAAGTTGATAAGGATATCTCATAAACAAAAAAGTTTCTGAACATTAAATAAGAGCTCTAAGTATCTATGAAATAAAAATGATATTTTGAAACCTTCTAATTATTTTTTTTTAATAAAAAGATAGCTTTTAGAAATAAAACTTGATGAAAAATTGTAGTGAACAATGTTTATAATATTTTCCCCAAAAAATTAACAATTGGTTTTTAAATAGTGAAGTGTTTAAAATACCAGAGTAACCAAATCTATTTTAAATGAGCTTACATGGAAGATTTTTCTACAACTTACCTAGAAGCCATGTGTTTTTTAATCTGGAAGAGTTGTCGCTGAACCAATCCCTTAGAAGACTCATCTTCCAAATATATACATCATGCGTGCATCCAGGAAATCGGGCTGAAATGCTCATGATTTGCATATGCATATCGCAAACCTGTTATAAATATTTAAAAAAAAATTACTAATGCTACTGCAAAAGATATATTTTATAAACATTTACAGATAATTGAAGCAATATATAGGGGAGAGTCGGGTAGCCCCGCCCACTTAAGGAATATTGCTTATATTTCTGCATAATATTGAGTAATAATCAATATTTTTGTATGTTTCTATCGTTCTATCATCTAATTAAATAATGCAAAAAGAATAAACCAAAAAAGGAATACTTTAACTTAGAAAAATTGAAATTTAAAAAAACATGTTTTCAGCTCTTTTCAAAATGTGTCGGGTAGCCCCGCCCAGTAACAAAAATAATATTTTTTGACTGTTTTTTTCAGGTGTAAATGAAAATGACCAATGTATTGACAATAGATAAACCTCATTTATCATTTTTATCACAAAATTATTTTGTTTATTACATATTTATATACTTTTCGTGAATTCTATCATTTAATAACAACAAATGTCATACTTTTTATCATTATTAATGTATATTAATATATTATAATATTAATATATATTNTTTTATGAATAATGGGTACAGTTAGCTTTTGGTAGCATTGGAATCTCGAGTAAAATTAAGTATTTTTTAAGACTGTTAGGGCATTTTTCATATACATCACATCTAATAGATAGGCTTTTTAATATATCACAACAGTTTATATCATAATTCTGAAAGTTAATTTGTTCGTAAACAGCTATAAAATAAAGTCTTAAAATTTAAAAGGAATAATATGGATTCATATTAAATTAGAGATAAATGATAATTTTTAATAGTATTAGGAACCTTCAACATTTAGATGTCTTAATTATATGACTTACTAAAAGCAAATAAAAAAACTTGGTATAAAGTATTTTGATATAACCAAAATCCACCAAATTTTCTTGTCTTTTTTAAAAGGCTCAAAGGGAGAAATGCTGCCACTTCGGTTGGCTCAGTATTTTTGTGCTCCGAGTCTGTAAAAAACTAAACTTTTGTATATTTTTCTTGGTTTCTTTAGTAACAATTTATTCTGCAGTTCTTATATTTGTGTATTTGTTGCTAACTTGAAGCATCATCACATAGTTGATATACTTATTTTTTTCTATCGCTTATAAAGAAGTTACTTTAAACTTTGCTAATTTGTTCACAGTTAAGTAAAAAAATTAGTAAATAAACAAATATGAAATTAATTACAAATTTTTATTCAAACAAGAGAAATTTTTTCATTACAACATGGGAATAATTCTGTCGCGAATTCTCGAAGCGTTTCTACCCTCACATGCTGGCAGGCCAGTATTGAATGGCATGTCATCTTCTGAGAGGGTATCATATGTAATATGATACACATCTCTCATACACATATTGTGCAGTACTGCACACGCATTCACAATCATGCCGGCAATTGTTGGCGTATAGTGCAGCACTCTTTCTTTTAATAGGCATCTAAATCTTCCTTTTAATACCCCATTGCATCTCTCGATGATGTTTCTCCCAAGTCTATGTCTGTAATTATAATTTTCTTCCTCCAATGATGTTTCGGTGAGAGGGGTCATGAGCCATGGCTCTAGTGGATAGCCAGAATCACCTAAATAAAGAAATTAATACAAAGATTAAAATGGTTCATCTAAGTCTTAAAATTATTATATAACTTAATCAATTTGATAAGATAGTTATTTAATAAGAGGTGATCCAAAAGGCAGTTTACTTTTTAAAACATTATAATTGTTTAGCTATTTACTATAAAGCAATTCCATTTGCTCATAAACACGAATTTTTTGATACAAAAAAAAATAGTTGTTTAAGAATTATAAAAGAAATTAACTTTTGGATCACGTGGTACATTAAAAAAATGGGACTAGCAGAATTATTGTAAACTTAGTTCAATATGCTTAAAAGTTGATAAGGATATCTCATAAACAAAAAAGTTTCTGAACATTAAATAAGAGCTCTAAGTATCTAAGAAATAAAAATGATATTTTGAAACCTTCTAATTATTTTTTTTAATAAAAAGATAGCTTTTAGAAATAAAACTTGATGAAAAATTGTAGTGAACAATGTATATAATATTTTTCCCAAAAATTAACAATTGATTTTTAAATAGTGAAGTGTTTAAAATACCAGAGTAACCAAATCTTTTTTAAATGAGCTTACATGAAAGATTTTTCTACAACTTACCTAGAAGCCATGTGTTTTTTAATCTGGAAGAGTTGTCGCTGAACCAACCCCTTAGAAGACTCATTTTCCAAATATATGCATCATGCGTGCATCCAGGAAATCGGGCTGAAATGCTCATGATTTGCATATGCATATCGCAAACCTGTTATAAATATTTAAAAAACAAATTACTGATGCAACTGCAACATATATATTTTGTAAACTTTTACAGATAATTGAAGCAATATATAGGAGAGAGTCGGGTAGCCCCGCCCACTTAAGGAGTATTGCTAATATTTCTGCATAATATTGAGTAATGATCAATATTTTTGTATGTTTCTATTGTTCTATCATCTAATTAAATAATGCAAAAAGTTTAACTTAAAAAAATAGAAATTTAAAAAAACATGTTTTTCAGCTCTTTTCAAAATGTGTCGGGTAGCACCGCCCAGTTACAAAAATTATTTTTTTTGACTGTTTTTTCAGGTGTAAATGAAAATGACCAATGTATTGACAATAGAACTTGTGGGGTTGATTTGGTATCTTTGTTAGAGTCCCCACTTAAACTCTAAAAAGAAATATAACTCTAGAAAAGCGTTCCACATGAAAATGTTTCCGAGAACGTGTTATAGGTTTCTTCATAAATAACACTAAGTTTAAATAAATAACTATCTTTATTAACATTTAGGAAACTTGTAAATTTAACTAAAACATAACCACTTTAACATGGAAGCAGCATAGAAATAAACTGCGAAAAGGTAACCGGCGAGAACATGCTGGATTGCTAGCTAGAACCGACGGGGAGAGAGAGAGAGCAATCTGTGAGGATGCGGCCAAGTTATATCCAAAACATACTGTGCGCATTTTGCTGATTTCGCCCTTCACGCATATCTCCATTCAGGTATGAGGTTTACGTCAATTATCGGCTGCGAGCGACGTAGTCCAACGTCAGAGATTCGTAATTCGGACTTTGCATTTCAGACCGCAACGCCACAACCTCATTTATCATTTTCATCACAAAATTATTTTGCTTATTACATATTTATATACTTTTAGTGAATTCTATCATTTAATAACAAAAAATGTCATACTTTTTATTATTATTAATATAGTATAATATTAATATATATATTTATATTAAATATTTAAAGAAAATAATTTAATTTAAGTAAATCTTTGCAACCGTACATTTATCGACATTTATCGATTTTATAAAATTGGGCGGTGATACCCGACATTCATGTGAGCAGGGCTACCCGAAATCCAATTTTTTTGTAAATTTGTAATTACTCGAACAATTTTCCACATGTAAACTTCTTTCTTTGTGCAAATTAAACTTAAGACTACATACTTTAATGCTGTATGTATAGAAAATATTATTTTTTTAGAATTAAAATGAAGTTTAATTGAAACATTCAACCAATTTTTCTTAATTTCATGACTACTGTACTCAATATATTTTCAAAGCTATTGTTTACCATGTTACCAGCTGCATAAATACTTGAAACTTTGAAAATATTTTTTTTTTATTATCACAATTAATGTTCGATGGCCCATTGACTTGAAAAAATATTCTATACATATGAAATTGACAGTGGGCGGGGGTACCCGACACTCCCCTATATGTCAATTATTTTAACGAATTTGTTGAGTGGAAACTCTGTTTTACGTTTTGCATAAAATGTTAACTCATTGACTAAATTAATGTATCGTATTTATATTATTAATTCAAAAATGAAACATCTTACCAGTTGAACATTCCGAGAATGAAAATTCTTTCGATTTACATAGTTTTTTTCTAGATGCTTGCCATCATTCTGCGGAGCTACTATGGCCACATGCGTGCAATCGAAAGCATCTATCACACCCGGGAAACCTGAGTAATCGAAGAATTCTCTCTTCAACATTTCTCTTTCACTGAAAGAAAGTTGAATAAATTGAGATGCTATGCATCACTCATTCAAGACAATAAAGTTAAAAATTAGTATTATAGAAAATAACAAAATTTCACCACTGTGTTTTCAATTAATTTTTTAAGCAGCTTTCAAAAACAGTACAAGGTGTATTCTCATATATAAGTGGCAAGTCGCAGAGTGTGCAGTAAGTTTTAACAGTAAAGTGAGTGCTCAATTTCGAAAACTCATGGTGTCACATTTAAAAATAATAATAATAATATCTGATCTATATATATATAATGTGTGTGTACAGGATCTGTTACACTGAACTGAATAAATCGGACTGCAATGGGCTGGACAAAACGAGTAATGTGTGAGAACTCTTTACATTAACCAGCCAAATTTCTTTTGTGATCTAATTGACAATAGTTAATGGATGTAATCAGTTATTTACATTAACTGAAAGATTGGTTTACTATTAATAATAACTTCTTTTTTTTTACATTGATTTCTACATGCAAAGTCAGAGATGAATAAACTGAATCAGCTAATGTTTTCATTTAATTTTAAAAAATAATTGTTTCATTTGCTTTAAACGACACATTTTAACAGTACAAAAAATTTATAAAAATTGAAATGGAAAAAAAACAATACATCACATTACATTATTAGTAACATAAATCATCAAAAGCAGCACTGTTTTTAAGGTAGTTGATGTGTATTTAATTATGGGTTCTCGCTTGTATTTACAAACTTTTTCTAAATAAATGATCTAAAAATAAGCTTTTATTTTTTAAAAGATAATGCAGCTTTCTACAAACATTTGTATTAGTTATTACCCTATTCTAGTATTTATAATTAATCATATAATGTTTATTGAAGCCATCAGAATTCAATATATATATTAATTTACATTTGTGTTAAAGTTGGGAAAAAAACTATATGTTTCTCAATAAAATCAGAAAGTTCAAAGAATGCTTATTCAAATCTTTGAAACCTATTTACTGTATACATATTACTTTACTGTATCACAAGAATTTGATTTTTTTACCTTTCAAGGGCAGGAAATTTTATATACTCTTTAAACATCAATTCATTAATAGCAATGGTGACACTTCTTATTGAATTGCTCACACTTGCTTGAGTCATGCTTCCACAAGTATCAGTGGTAATGTTTTTCTGGTAACATCCAGTCGCATAAAATCTTAAAGCACAAAAGATCTAAAACAAATTATAAAAATGAGCACGCATCGTCGCTTTGAAACTAAACCGTTGTAACTAAAAAAAGTCGAAAAATGAGATTTTTGGGTCATTTTGTGTAAAAAAAAAGTCACCCTTTTAGAAAAACAGCCTGTTATCTTTATAGTTCCATAAAGTTAATTTAGAGAGCAGATAAATCGTCATTGCATTGCCGCGATTAGCATTAGCGCGGAAAGTTTGAAATCGCTCTCCTGAAAAACTTGCTTTTTTGAGTTACCACGGTTTAGTTTCAAAGCGACGACATGTAAAATCAACATCACATCTATAAAATCAATATCATTTAGAATAGCTTCTAAAATATATTTTAAAAGGAACTTTCAAACTTTAATTATATTTGAAAAGTTCTATGCAAAAAATATGAACATAACTTTTTTTAACAATGATGGGAAAAAAATTATTTGAATACTAGCCGTCTAAGGCAGCCAGCTGTCCACCACGCTAAAGGTTTTCACAAATAAAGTTTTTTAAAACATAGCAGGAAATCTGAAGATTAGTGGACAATTAAAGTGTTCCTCTCCTGCAATTTTGTCTTTATATCCAGTTCTGCTGCAGATGTGTTATAGCTCTTGAGGATGTTTGAAGATGTAACTTTGCTATGGTAACCTAAGGCCTATGGTAACCTAACCTATAATATAACTATCAGGTGGAGACTTGTTTTTTTTTTTTTTTTTTTTAAAAAAAGGCCTCAGAAATTGTAAAAGCATACAAAAGTTGCTTTCGAAATCATCATTCGCCAATAGCTGAATATTAAAACGCAGTTAATAACATATTTAAGAAACAGCAATAAAATAAAACTTGTGTCAGTCAGCATACAGATAGTATATAATTTTTCCTATTCTTGTAAAACTTCTTTATAAACAATATTTTTAGTTTTTCCATTTGGTGCCAATAAATATAAGTTCTTTTCATCACCAACTCTTGAGCAGCCAACATAAAGCTGTCCATGTGAAAAGCAAGGCTTCTGCATGTCAAGATCAACGACTTTTAAAGATTGTCCCTGAGATTTATTTGTACTCATCGCAAAACTAAGTCGAACAGGAAACTGAAGTCGTTTAAACTGAAACGGATTGTCTGAAGATATGATGGGGATGCGAGGAATAAGCACACTATTTCCCGTTGAATGTCCTGTTATAATCATAGCTTCAATAACATTAGGCATCAATTTTTTCACAATCAATCTTGGTCCATTACACAATGCAGGTGGATCCAAATTTCTTAAAAGCTTAATTGGTGCTCCAATTTTCAATTCTAATTTATGTGCAGGCACTCCAGGTGGTTCCAATGAGTTCAAAAATTCTGTCGGATAGTTGACAACTTGATCTATTTCCATGACAGCGTCCATCGACTTGTAAATTTCCAGAGCACCAGGTAATTTTTTTAAAAGTTTGTTATTTATCACGTTAACAATATCATTTGTTGGAGAAAGGATAGCTCTTTCACATAGCCATTGAGGGTTGCAGTAATTTTCATGAATATTAGGAAAAACCATTTCTTTGAGTTCGTCGGTTGTNAACAACAGTAAACAAACCATTATGTAATATCAATCATTATGCATTATATAACCTAACAAACATAAACAACCTAGCCGTTGAGATTTTCGAAAATTCATTAAACATTCGTGTGGTGGTGGTTGAAATTGTTTCAAAACGGCATTTTTAACTTTTTCATAATCTCGAAGATCATTTTCTGAAATGTTTAATAAAACGTGACTTGCTTTTTCGCCTAAAATATTTATCAATATTTCCGATTTTATTTCATCCTGTACTCTTTTTGTGGTAAACGAGCGTTTTAGAGATTGATAAAATAAGCTGTAGTTCTCCGGTCTTGTCGGCACAGGTATGCTAAGTGTTCGGATGCTTCTAATAATACTTTCAATATCGGGACCATCTTCACCTGCGTCTGAATTTCTAGATGAGTTCAGGTTGGCACTAGGAGTATTTCGAAGGTTTGTTAATTCGATTTGATGTTCTAGCTGTGCGAGTTTAATTTTTTGTAATTCAATCTTAGCATTTTCGTTTTCTTCGCGGGCTTTTCGTTCTTCGACGGCTGATGCGACTAGATTTTTAACGAAATCTACGTTCGCTTTGAATACATCACTTGATTCAATTAAGCCTTTTAGAGTAATTAACGTAGCGTTTTCCGGTACAGTTATTCCTAATTCAAATGCGATCTGTAGTAGATCTTCTTTACTCGTATTTTTATGCATGTTTAGTATTAATGTTGCTCCTACCTGTATTTCTTGAAATTGAAAATAAATTCGTTAATTTTATCCTTTTCGTGATGATTCCAAATATTTTTCCAACGGTGTTGATTTGAAGGAATGGCGGTTTCGTTTTGCTGGCATATCTGTAGGAGGATTCTTGTTTCATTTTAGACTGATGTTGACTTTAGAATAATTCTGACAGGTGTGGCCGAGCCCCATGTCTAAGAGGGTAGAAAGGGATGAAGAGAAATAAGTGGACGGTTGAACATTTATTTATTAGCGGGAAAATCACAGCAGGTTACATCTTAAAAACACCTTCTCTCAGCCTATCTCCTCTCAGAAAGAGCGGGGGGAAATTTTATGGCAAGATAGAGTTGAAATACCAACCCATAGAGGGCGTTGCTGGCTGAAGTACATGTATGGAACATATATTTAGTTTTGTTTTAGTTAACATAGGTTAAAAAAGAACAGAATTATATGTTACAAACCATTATAATGAAACGAATTTTTTTCGGTAAATTGTAAGTATGTTTACTTTATACATGCATACTCCACACAAAGAGATTATCTGTAATTTATCGCTGTTGACATTTTGGCAAGAGAATTTGAAAACAAAGTAATTGAATTTCAACATTATTGTCACGAAATATTGAAATTTGTTAAATATTATTAAGAAGTGTGTCATTTATCATCATATTTTAGCCTGGGAATTCATAAATGAGAACGAATATAATATTCTAGATATCTTATGCACCATAGCATGTATTTTTTATGATACATAAGCATAGCACGACTTTTAATCTAACTTAATTAAGTTCAGGTGAAGCAATTTTACAAATTGTTTCTTAATAATACATTGCATAAACTTATTTTTTAAGTTAGCAAAAGAAGTTTACTTACCACATCATTTTCACACCCTTGATTTCTGCACTAAAGAAATCTGGATTCTTTCTAAGAAGGAAAATAAAGAAAGGAATCTATCTTCGGTAGATTGTCCGATTGACCTTTAACAAAATCTTTCTCCACTTGCATTGTACAGTTAATGCAATTTACTCAAATAAATGCAAGTCAAATTAAAACGCCTTTGTAAATAATAACACTTTTCTCGACAGAAAGCTTTGGTTTAACTCCTTCCGTTTGCTGAGTTACGATATTTTGACGTCATGAGCAAATCCTGCGTCATTTTGTGTCACGTTAAGTTAGTTTCATTTTGGGCTAATTTTAAGTTAATATTTGGGTTAGTTTTTTAAATTCTGAATTGATTTTAGAGAGTTTTAAGATATTGACTATTTAAATTAATCCACATTCTGCAATTACCCAACGCATTCAGGTTCCTCATTGCTGTAGTGCCATCGATGGGAAACACTTCAAGATTGTGTGCCCCAAAAAGTATTACAATGGCATTTACTCCTACAGTGATGAAGCCGTTCCCTGAAACCCAAGCTATGAAAAATGCAGAAAAGGCACAGTATAATTATACTCTGTAGAGCAAAGCGTACATCCGAAAATGCCTTTGGTATTCGTGCTAGTACTTAGGGTATTTTTTACCCCTATTGCTTGCAAAATTAAAACTGTAAGCAAGCTGCATATTGCCTAATATTCTACACCAAAGAGAATAATCTGTCTTGTTGAGCCTAAAAAAGGCATTAAACTGACAATGGCTGAGAAGAACCTGACAAATCTTGCGGCAACGGGATCAAAGTATGCTTCTTTTAACGCAAAGCATGTACGGCAAAATTTCGCCAAATATTTCAGCAGTAAAACAGGTGCTTTGAAATGGCAGAAACAGGAAATCGCACGCTCAACCTAATGTTTTATTTACTACCCATAATAATTTCAGGTGTGTAATTTTAACAAGATACAGCCAGAAACATAAAAATGAATAAATTACGGTTTTCTTAATGATATCATAACCTATTAGCAAATAATAAAATAACTCACAAATAATTAAAACCAAACCAAAAGGTTAAGAAATTTTCTAATTTAAATTTTAATCCTTCTGCATTTAAAATTTTCCTCTTTAATTTCTTTTTCAAATTTTATGCCGAAAAGTTTGTGCTACACTGCAATAGAAAAATATAAATTCTCAATTTAATTTTGTAACTTTTTTAATTCTTATTGACTTATTTCTATGCCATTTTTCTTTTATTTATACTGCCGCGTTTAGTATCCTGTTGGTTGAAACTGAAAATTATCAATATTTGTTCCCTTTTTCAAATTTCATGAAAGAAACCAAGCAATTATTTTTGTCAAAAATTGTATCTGTAACTAAACTTGTTTAAATATAATATTGTTTATATTTAATTGTAACTTTTTACTCTTATTATTTGTGCTTTTCTAATATTGTTTTACTTTATTTTGTAACTTTTGTTTTCTCTTTTGATCTATGTACTTTGAATAAATTGTTATTTACCTATTATGTATTGACATCTTTGAGAAATAAGTACATAAATATGTTGATAAATAAAGCATAGTTGGTTAAGAATTAAACTTTTTGTTTATACACAGTTGAATAAACTTAAATTTAATTGAACATTATCTTCAATACAACTTTCTTCAAGTTCAAAAACAATATTTGAAATTTTTTTACTTGCCGTCGTAACCTTTTGGGGAATTTTTTTTTGCAGTTAAAGATAGTGAACTGGAAAAAAACCCCATCTAGATCATCTTATGGTGCCATCAGTGCTTTTAAAACTTCAGTTCGCTTTTTTCTAGCAGATTGAAATTCTTGAAAATATCTCTTTTTTATTTTTGTGATCGCCTGCTATTCCGTTCTTTTGAAACACTCCTGCCGTTAGATGGATTTGAAGATCCATCTTTACACTCATTTAGAGTCCCTTCAGACTGCAAAGTGTGAGCTTCATTATCTGGTTCCTGTTCATTTTCGAGGCTATATTCATGTAGAAGGTGTCTCTTTCCTCATTGAACATGCTAATTTACTGTTGCGCCACTTCGTCATATTTCTGGGGTGTGTCTCCAACAAAGGAACAGTCTTGATCATTAGACTGTCCTGAAATAAATTAAGAATAGTGATTTAGAAGATACTATTCATAAGATACATTAATCATAAAGTTTTAGAAAATAGANTATTGTTGTTTACTTGTTATATTTAATTGTAACTTTTTACTCTTATTATTTGTGCTTTTCTTATATTGTTTTACTTTATTTTGTAACTTTTGATTTCTCTATTGATCTAAGTAAAGTAAACTAAACTCAGCGGCGCGACAGCCCGTAGAGGGCCATGGCCTACTGTGCACATCTCAGTTTTCTTGACCTTTGGGCTCTGGGATGCAGAAGCAGATGTTCCGGTTAAGTGCTCAGCCGAACGCGAAACCCCCAGTGTTTAGTTCCCAAGCATGTTTGGTACTCATTTATCGACCCACTGAAGGGATGAAAGTCTGGTCAACCTTGCCCGAACCAGGGACCTGTGGCACGTCAGCGCGAAGCGCTACCGCTCAGCCACTGAATAAATTGTTATTTACCTTTTATGTATTGACATATTTGAGAAATAAGTATGTTGATAAATAGAGCATAGTTGGCTAAGAAATAAACTTTTTATTTATACACAGTTAAATAAACTTAATCGAACATTATCTTCAATACAACTTTCTTCAAGTTCAAAAACAATATTTGAAATTTTTTTACTTGCCGTCGTAACCTTTTGGGGAATTTTTTACAGTTAAAGATAGTGAACTGAAAAAGAAAAAAAAAACAACATCTAGATCATCTTATTGTGCCATCAGTGCTTTTAAAACTTCAGTTCGCTTTTTTCCAGCAGATTGAAATTCTTGAAAATCTCTCTTTTTTTTTTTTTTTTGGTGATCGCCTGCTATTCCGTTCTTTTGAAACACTGGATTTGAAGATCCAACTTCACACTCATTTAGAGTCCCTTCAGACTGCAAAGTGTGAGCCTCATTAGGTGGTTCCTGTTCATTTTCGAGGCTATATTCATGTAGAAGGTCTGTTTCCTTCCTCATTGAACATGCTAATTTACTGTTGCGCCACTTCGTCATATTTCTGGGGTGTGTCTTCAACAAAGGAACAGTCTTGATCATTAGACTGTCCTGAAATAAATTAAGAATAGTGATTTAGAAGATACTATTCATAAGATACATTAATCATAAAGTTTTAGAAAATATATTGACTTCGTTAACGAAAGTCCCAAGGGTAGAGAATTCTGTTCTGCATTTTGGCTGAAGAAAATCTAGGGTTATGAGGACATCGGGAAGGTTTTAAGATGTTAAAAATCCCGGTCATTTATTGAACTTAATGTAGCTGCTTACTGTATTCGATTCCGTTATGGAAGAGCCCATCAACTACCTAGAAAA